CCCCCCCCCCCCCCTCTTCCCAAAGGTTTATATCTTGACGACGCTGAACGTTCTCATCGAGGTCAACCCGCAGATCAGAATTCCCCGAACCTTCAAGCGATTTTCAGGGCTTATGGGTGAGAGAGAGAGAGAGAGAAGGACCCCTTGTTTTTGACGTCATGAATTTCTGCAATTGTCACAGGCTTGTTTTCGAGTGTTGAAGCCATGATGTCGGCCTGGTTGCGTTCCTTTTTGTCGATCCGGGCATGGTTGTCACATAAGTGCTGTAGACTTTGAGTGTCCTCGGCCTATCGTTGGTGTTTGTGTTGCAGTTTTTGGTATGAACCGGACCGGGTTGTTGCTGCTTTTGCCCTGTCACGATGGCAATGGTTTCCGCTTGGGCATGATGGAGTCACGGCAGAAGTTTCCGTTGGGTGACGTCACCACACGACAGAAGTTTCTCTTTGGAATCTAGAAATGTAGATGTAACCAGCGCACTTCCCTGCCAATCAGCGCTGCCTCTAGAACGAGTACGTGCTGAAGGTGGACAAAGTCGGTGTCTTGCAGTACTCTTCGTACATCAGGGCGTGGGGACCCAGTGCCTATTGCTAGCAGGGTCGGGGTTAGCCTCACACGCCGTCATCCCCCTACTGCTCTGGGGCAGAACGCTTCCGGTATCCAGGCCCTTGGGTGTGTGCGACCTAAGCCAACAGTTTCTGTTCCTGTATGTAACCCCACGCCGGCCCCCCACTGCTGTGTCGATGGTCTCGGGCGACTAAGCCTACGCCTGAGCTGAGCTGTAGATTCGCGTGTACGGCCGCCCTGTTGCCGGTGCTTCGACGAATATATGCAACAGTTCAACTTCTTCACAAGCTCAAGATCCGGGCGGCCGGCAACAGCACAATGCTCCTCAAGGTGGTCAAGAATCCGCCGACCCGGCATCTCCCTCCAGGCTGCAAGACGTTCGGTGAGTGGGCCAGCAATTATATCCGCCTCCCCCCCTCCCCGATGTTTGCCATCGGGGTTGGGTTTTCGTCGCTTGGCATCGACGTTGTATAACAAGCCAATTCACTTCGTGAACTCGGCAACCAGGTTACCGTTTGTTTTTTTTACATCTGTTTTTTTTTGGCCGTAACCATAATGGTGGTCGAGTAGATCATGCTGTGCGGGGTGGAGAACCCNGATCATGCGACTCGCCGAATACCTCATGGCGCTTCGCGCTTGGTGATGTGAGNCTACACCGACTTGTTTCGCTGGATTGCTTCACCACAAAGCTTTTTGCCAACACAAAGAATATGGTGGTTTTGGAAACATCTCGTAAAGGGTTTACGTAGGCGTGTCGGACTCTTTCACGCACCCACTTGGTTGTCGAGAAATGGAGCTTCGAAAGTCTGACTAGGGGGGGGCGCCATCTCTCTCTCTGACACTTGTCTGTGGTTTCATGAGCCCACTCCGGGGGTCGGCCTTCGTGAATGTTTTGGTGTACAAAGGCCGAGGAAATTCCTCGGGGCAGGAACATCTAACTTTTTTTATGCTTGTTTTACCGTCCGTTCCCTGTCCCTCTCCGGTGGTGTGTCCCCGTCGACCGACCGCTGCTGCTGCCTGTGCAGGTCTCTCCGTGGAGGGTACCCTCTACAACCCGAACCACTTCGCGGCAACCCTCCCGGACGACGCTCCGATCGTTTTCTACATCGGAGCGATGGCTTCGGGGCATCTCACCAAGGACGAAAACCCCGAGGTGTGTATGTATCCTTGCAGTATTATACGCGGGTTTTTCTAAGCAAGCACATATATTGGATACAGTATGAAATTAGCAAAGTAAGGTTGGGGTTAGGGATAGGGTTTTTCGACGTACGCAACCATATTGGATACAGGATGGAATCGGCTGAGGTTTGGGTTTTTCTTTCTAAGCAACATATTGGATACGGTATAGAATAGGCTATAATAGGGTTGGCGTTACGGCCTGCGTGCCCCCTGTCTGGCCTTTTTTCGTACTAAACCTAACCTTGGCCACGTAAACAGTCCGTTTCTTGAATTCATTTGCATCGACCGAGCTTACCGGATGACCAATGAAAGGCGCCAGTCTTACAAAAGGTGTGTGTTTTGTTGAATTTAGCATCGACCTCAACAACCGACTGTCCACTGAAAAGGCACCAGTCTTATAACAGGCGGGAAAAGCGAACACCCTCCTAGTGTATGTGTATTATTTTGATTGGGAACTAAACGTTGGCACTCACTCCGAGATTTTGAGAAACCAAGCAGTCGCCGTCGTGTAGACGGATTTGGCATTGTCATCTAGCAGATGTTGTTAGAGTTTTCCCGGGAAACCGTTGCCGTGTGAAAACCCGACGCTGCAGCATGTTTTGTGCTAAGCTCGATCGCCCCCCTGTCTGTCTCTCTTGGGTGGTGCTAAACGTGCCGCGTTTCGACCCCTCGGCAGATTGAGGAGATGATCGCTATTTCGGAGTATCCGGTAAGTGAAAATATTGCGGGAGGACAGGGTGTGCGCCGGTGGATGCCTGTTGCGCAGTCGTCGTCGCCGTCAGCTATTTTTCCGTCAAGCAAGATGTCGTTCACGTTTTCGAACGAGCATGTAGTAGTGTAAGGGTTATTTTCTGTGGGATTTGCACCCTTGTCCTTAGGTCTTCCACCACCACGCGCGCGCCCATCTCCTCTGGGCGTATCATCGATAATTGAACGTTTTATCGGCACCTAGTCTTTTTGCTGAAACGCATCGTATCGAACGTCACAACGACTTCAATAGCAGGTCATACGAGGGACTGCCGTTTTGCCATTTCAAAGGGGAGGTTTAGTAGTCAGGCAAACATAAATGAGTCCGTGCATGCCCCCCACCGCTGCAGACCCGTCTGCAGTCCATTTTCACCCCCAAGTCTCATTGCATGTACAATACCCCCTTGCTCGCCTCCCGTCGTGGACAGTTGAGCGGCGCTGCGGCAATATCGAGACTATTCGGCGGCATCGAGAACCACTGGGGCATCTTCTGATGGGGCGTGTTGTGCTGCCGTATGTGTAGCATGTAGTATAACGTGGAAGGACGGACGCAAATCGTACTAATTTCGTCGGAGAGGGTTAGTTTCTTGGTACAATAGTTTCGTGTTTTGATGATGTCACTTGTTGTTGCATGGTTTCCCGTTGTTATTTTGTTCTGTATGACGGCGCGATATTTGCGCTGATTTTGTCCTCGAGCACGGACGTCAATGTTAGGCATGATCGAGGAGCGGATGAATTGAACGCGTTTTGTTTTTGGCGTGCGTGTTGTATTTTTCCTTTTCTGGCCTAAGGTTGGCCGCGTAAACTGTGTCTTTTGCTGGCGGAACCACTGTACCAGATGATTTGTACCGGATATACACCAAGAGCTGTGTATGTTGGATGACAGCAGCAGTGATTGCGCGTTCCTGCATGCCGTACGGCATACCACGCTCAGTGTGAAACCCAGCGTTTGGCATGTCGTGAGACGAAAAGCGTTTTCTTCCCGCTCCCCTAGGATACGTTGTTGCCACTTCACCCTTGAGAGAAAAAGAGATGAGTTGTAACCAGTACGCTATATTGTGCGCTGTTGAGCGTCCTCGCTATGGAGAGCTAGCACGTTCGCTCAAACTAACTGGGGTGCAGCGCGCATGGCCGAACGAACGTGGATAGATGGGGACATGCGCATGCTCCCCCAAGGGTTGTGTCGGGTTTCCTAGCCCCCCTTTTCTCGTGTGGGCTACAACTTCAACCTACCAATCACATCGGGCTTGGTTGGGTTGAATATCCCGCGACTCGTGAAAACACTTCCGTGCATCAGAACAAAATGGAAGCACGAAAAATATCCGCGAGCAAGCTGCCTTCAAACTACTTCAACATATCACACAGATTAAATCAAGATCTCGCCTTTGGGTCCGATTTTTTTGTTTCCTTGAGAAATTCGGCAGAGGTGTGGTGTCGCTGCCGAAAATTGAGGCTGCATTTCGTTCATGGTAGAAAATTCTGAACGCCCATCATTCGATTGGCAGGTGGGTGGCGCTCGTGTGGGTAGTGTTCTGTAGTAGAGCGGAGCTTCCAAGTTTGAGGATCAGCTCAAAGGTTGTATGATATTCACTATCATATCCTGCACATGACAGCGACGACCACAACGCCGCCGTTTTTATTTGGGCAGTAGACAGAAGAGCAGCCTGCTGAAAGAAGCGTAGCACCATTACTCCCTTGCCAGTACGACGATGAGTGTGTGTGTTGTCCTGAGATATCCTTAGATCTGGGGGGGGGGACAGGTACCTCCTCCAAGCTCAAAAATGCAAGGAAGGATGTCTTACCTGTCCCCTAATCCCTCCCCTCACCTCCTGCGGATGTT